TCTGGGACCCCTCGGGAGATAACGACCTGCTGGCTTAGGCCTGCTCCCGGGTGGCAGAGGGCAGGCCCAATCCCTAGGTGCAGCCCCTGGTCGGGCTCAGAGCAGGGCCGATTGGGGAGTTGGGGCACCTTCCCCTGTCATGCACAGAGCAGGGCAGATTTGGGAGGTTGCGATGCCACCCTCAGTCACGCTCAGGGTAGGGCCGATTGGGGGGTTGGGGCACCACCCCGTCACACTCAAGGCAGGGTCGATGGGGAGGTTGCGGCACCACCCCCTGTCACGCACAGAGCAGGGCCCATCAGGGGGGTTGGGGTTCCGTACCCTGTCATGCACAGAGCAGGGCCAATCAGGGGGTTAGGGCACTGCCCCCTGTCACGCACAGAGCAGGGTCAATCAAGGGGTTGGGGAGCTCCCCCTTGTCACTCACAGAGTAGGGCCGATAGGGGAGTTGGGGCACCGCCCCCTGTCACACTCAGGGCAGGGCAGATCAGGGGGTTGGGGCACCGCCCTCTATCACCCACAGAGCAGGGCTGATCAGGGGGTTGGGGCACCGCCACTGTCACACTCAGGGCAGGGCCGATTGGGAGGTTATGGCTCTACCCCATCACACACAGAGCAGGGCCCGTGGGGGGGGAGGGGTTTGGGGCGCCGCCTGCTATCACCCACAGAGCAGGGCTGATCAGGTGGTTGGGGCGCCGCCACTCTCACACTCAGGGCAGGGCCGATGGGGAGGTTATGGCTCTACCCCGTCACACACAGAGCAGGGCCTGTTGTGGGGGGTGGGGGTTGGGGCCCCGCACCCTGTCACACACAGAGCAGGGCTGATCAGGGAGTTGAGGCACCGCACCCTGTCATACACAGAGCCGCAGGGCGATCAGGGGGTTGGGGAGCTCCCCCCTATCAGGCACAGAGCAGGGCTGATCAGGGGGTTGGGGCGCCTTCCCCTGTCACAAACAGAGCAGGGCGGATAGGGAGGTTGTAGCCCTGCCCCCTGTCACACACAGAGCCACAGGGCAATCAGGGGGTTTGGGCGCTGCCCCCTGTCACGCTGATCCCGGTGCCGGGAGGCCTCTCGGCTCCGCTGATCCCGGTGCTGGGAGGCATATTACCCTTTTACTATATAGGATAGAGGCCTGGTGCATGGGTGGGGCTGCCTGGTTTGCCCTGAAGGGTGTCCTGGATCAAGGTGGGGGTCCCCACTGGGGTGCCTGGCCAGCCTGGATGAGGGGATGATGGCTGTTTGCAGCTGGTCACACACCCTTCAGGGTGGGGGTCCCCACTGGAGTGCCTGGCCAGCCTGGGTGAGGGGATGATGGCTGTTTGCAGCTGGTCACACACCCTTTAGGGTGAGGGTCCCCACTGGGGTGCCTGGCCAGTCTGGGTAAGGGGCTGAGGGCTGTTTTCAGGCCGACTGAAGCTCCCAACTGCTCCTTTTTTTCTTTTTTTTCTTTTTTTCTGGGCCAGCTTTAGCTCTGGCTCCAGCTCTGAGGCTTCTGCTGCTGAAAGAACGTATCTGATTTGTTTCGGTTCTATAATCAAAACACTGTTTAACTCCAACTTTGAGATCCCGGCCTCGCTGAAAGCAGGTTTCTGGGGTTTTGTTTAGTTTCTATATTTGTTACAATGTTTCTTAAACTGCAGGCTCAGAGGCCGGCAAAGCAGGTGGGGAACATTGGTTTCCTCCGTCACTGAAGCAAGCAAGCCTCACGTTAGTTTCAAGCTGCCGGCCGCCATCTTGGCTGGCAGTTAATTTGCATATCTCCCTGATTAGCCAATGGGAAGGGTAGCGGTCGTACGCCAATTACCATGTTTCTCTTTTATTAGATAGGATAAGGAAGAACCTTACGTGCTCAGCCCCTCCCTATGCGGTCAAGAATACAGACCTTCGGTGCTTCCCTGCTGCTTATTTTATGTTTCCATGCAAGATCTTGGCAATGTTTACTGGGAACCTGAATCCCTAGGCCTCGCACATTTTATCTTTATCTCTACCATCTAACCCTGATTATTTGACATCTTCACTACAATAATTCTTTTTTTGATCAACAAGTGGCCTGAGTGAACCCCCCTCCCCAGCCTCATGTTTCCATCCTGCACCCCATTTCGGTTTCAGCTACACCAAACCACTTATTCCTCTCCAAGCCTCCACATATTCACCTTCACACCCCTGCCCTGTGCACTCCTTTATAAAGTTCATCCTAATAATCTCTAGAAGTAATTCCTTACAAAGAAGATTTGGCAGGCACTACATGTTTTGGAACCTGCCAAGCTAGGATGGTTTAAGGTGGCTTTTAAAGACTTTACATATGCCATTTATACCACAGATACAGCAGTAGCATTTACCTGGCTCTCTTAGCTGTAAAACAGTCTCAGCTATGCTGATTACATTGGACATGCAACAAAGGTAATTTATTCATCATACACAAAATTTCCTGTTAATGGAAATCAGAATTTTAAGTGCTGATTGAAAGGAGAGCTAAGCCCTGGCCAGTGTAGTGCAATTGGGTGGGCGTCGTCCTATGCACCGAAGGACTGGTTTGATTCCCAGTCAGGGCACATGCCCAGGTTGGGGGGTGGGGGGAAGGAGCGCGGGGATATACAGGAGGCAGCTGATAAATGTTCCATTCTCACATTGAGGTTTCTCTCTCTCTCTCTCTCTCTCTCTCTCTCTCTCTCTCTCTCTCTCCCCCCCTCCCTCCACCTCCCTCTCTCTTCCTCTTTCTATCTCTCTAAAACAAAACAAACAAAAACAGTTTAAAAAAAGAAACTCGTGCACTGCTGGTGGGAATGCAGACTGGTGCAGCCACTCTGGAAGACAGTATGGAGTTTCCTCAAAACACTAAAAATGGAACTCCCATTTGACCCTGTGATCCCACTTCTAGGAATATATCCCAAGAAACCAGGAACACCAATCAGAAAGGGTATATGTACCCATATGTTCATAGCAGCACAATTCACCATAGCTAAGATCTGGAAACAGCCTAAGTGCCCATCAGCAGATGAATGGATTAGAAAACTGTGGTACATCTACACGATGGAATACTATGCTGCTGTAAAAAAGAAGGAACTCTTACCATTTGCAACAGCATGGATGGAACTGGAGAGCATTATGCTAAGTGAAATAAGCCAGTCAATGAAGGAAAAATACCACATGATCTCACTCATTCATGGATAATAAAGACCATTATAAACTTATGAACAAAAATAGATACAGAGGCAGAGCTGCCTCAAACAGACTGTCAAACTGCAGTGGGAAGTCCGGGGAGGGGAGGGGGGCCAAAAGGGGGGGTAAGAGATCAACCAAAGGACTTATATGCATGCATATAAGCATAACCAATGGACACAAAACACTAGAGGGTAGGGGAGGCCAGGGGATTGTCAAGGGCGGGAGAAAAGAGGAGACATATGTAATACCCTTTGTAATACTTTAAGCAATAAAAAATAAATTAAATAAAATAAAAAAAAGAAAAGAAAAGAAAGTTGATATATCAGGACACAATTATCAACTACACCAAACTTAAGAGTACTTTTTAATGTTGTATTTCCTAATTATTGTTAGTTTTGCAGGTGTCTAATAATTAACTTAGTCATAGAATATTAACCTATTTCTTTTTGCCTTCACCACTCCCATTCTATTTCATATTTTGCACATTTGGGGGGCTTACATCTGTTTAACATTAATCTAGATTTGGGTGGCTTTTATTAAGAATACCTTATAAAGTAGGGGCTCAGCTGAATCTCTTCCCTGGGAGGATGTGATTTGTTGAAAGAACCAAGAAGTCTGAAGAGATCTTCACATTTCTCTAATTTATAGATTTGTCTCCCAGCCTAAAATGGCAGTTGCCTCTTCTCCAAGTTCCAGAAATGATTACCACTGACCATCTGGATCTGCCCCAAACTCAAGACTGTAGACTTTCTGCATGTGCGCATACACCCACACACACACACACACACACACACACACACACACACACACATCACAAACTTAAAATGAATGTCAGCCTGAGACACCCATGGGCTTTCCAACCTCATAATTAAATCCACTGACAATTTTCTCTTCTAGCTCACTTGCAAAATAAATGCTTCAAAGAGGGTTAACTTTGCTCTCTCCATGTCTGTGTCCAGTGTGTATACAGTGATGAGGGTGGTGTGGAGAGGAAATATGGGTGTGCCTTGAAATACATACTACAATTTTGAGTTTTCTTAGCTTGCTCATAATTAATTCAGAAACTAAAGTTTGAGGGATCCATGAAGGGCTGAGAAGGGGTGGATGTTCTTGTGCTAATGAAACATAGCTGCATTTAAATATTGTCTTCCTGTTAGCAAATGGAAGGAAATAGACCATTGACTGGAATTCTCTCACTCATTGTTTCCACTGTTCTCCCCACTCCGTCCTCTTTTCCAATGCTCTAACTCTACCTACTTTCTTTGGGGAAATTAAGTGTGGTATTTTTTAGACGTGCTGATCCATATGCCTCTCAAAGCATTCATTTTGTTCTGCATGGATGAGGTGCTGGCTTTCCAGTAGCTCTGGCCCCAGTACCTCCTCATGTCCTCTTCCAAGAAGGAGGCGTGCCATTGGGACCCTCCAGGCAATGGAACACTGTTTCTGTCCACCAGAGTCTTAATTATTTTGCTCACTGTAGCATCAGCGCTAGTCCTTTTTCACCTTGGAATTTGAGGGGATGAAGAAATCTAATTTCTTCAGGAAATCTTTGAAGGGGAAAAGTTTCTAGTAGGCTGATAGATTACTCTCCTAGCTATATGGGTGTGTATGTGGACACAGCAACCTTTCGGTTTCATATACAGACCACAGATGGGACCACCTATTTGGCCTGAAGAAACCGTGTTCCAAGTGGCCCGGGGGGGGGAGGGGGTTATGGGGGATGATATCTATCTCTCTTCTCTCTGAATGTCTTTTTTCTTGTCCTTAAATGGCATATTCTCTAGGGATTTGTCTCATATCTCCGTAAGTGGTGGCCAACTCTCCTTTTTTTTCTCAGGGAGGAAGATGAGTACTCAGAACTTCGATCAGAACTCAGCCAGAGTCAACAAGAGGTCAACGAGGACTCTCGAAGCATGGACCAAGACCAGACCTCTGTCTCCATCCCCGAAAACCAGTCCACCATGGTCACTGCCGACATGGGTGAGTCTGCCTGCTACAAAGCCAGAGCCTGGTTTCTGTAATAGGGATTTATAGAAACGTGAGGCAGCCTGGCTTAAAATTTAATTAAGTTAATTAAGGAGTTTGGTGAATAGATAAAGGCATATCCATTTCAGTCCCTTACATATTACTTTGTTGGTCAAAATGGAACTGAAGAGTTGAATCACTTTCTGTCCTGATGTTTGTGATTCAAACATATGTCACCTCTATTTGAAAATTCTGGCAGGAGAAAACCAGTTATAAAGGCTGCTGGAGTGCTCCAAGTTGCAGTAACAATTAGGATGGAAGGAATAGAAAGGCGAGAATGGGTGGTGACACATTGCAGTGGAAGAACCAAAAGCAACTGTTGGGTAGGGAGGATCCAAAATGACTCTAACATGTTGATCCTGAGTGACTCAGAGAATGATCATATTCCTCAGAAGTTTGATTGAGAAATGAGTTGGGAAATCGATATATTATGTTTGAGGTTGTAGAGAAATGTTCATATGGAAATATCTGGTACTATGTGATTGTATGGTGTGTTTTTAAACTGCAGGTCATGACCCATTAGTGGGTCTTGGAATTATATGAAAAATAAATTATTTTTAAATGAAATAAAATGGGGGTAGGGGATAGAATGACAGTATTGTTTCATGAAAATTATTTGTTACCTGTGTTTATGTAGTAAGTTGCCATATGAAATGTTCCAAGTGTTGGTTGCAGTCAAAATGTTGCAAAACCACTGGACTACTTGGAGATGCCTAACTGGCTCTTTGGAGGGATTGAGGTTGAGGATAAAGGCTTTGAAGCTATGAAGTAAACAGATCCCTTTGGTCAAAAGGGTGGAGAGTCAAAAGAGGGAGGAGACCCATATCTTAGGAAATGTTCACATGTAGGGGAGAGATGGGAGAAGAACCAAGAAAAAGAGGAGTAAGTGTAGTGCAGTGTTCACAGAACTTAAAATTTCATTGAAGAGAGAGACTTGAATCTAATATTACACACGTGTTTAATTGCAAACATATATAAGTACTACAACATTAAAGAACATGGTACCATGAGAATGTATCAAAGGTATTTGATTAAGTTTAGGATTTTCAGGATACCTTCCTCCAGGAAGTGACATTTGAATGAGATCTGGAAGATAAGTAGGAATTAAGCAGATAAAAGAGAAGATGGCATTCAGGGGGCGGGGACAGATGCATTCCAGGAGGTGAAAAAAGGATTTTCATGTTTGAAGGGCACAGAGGTGTGAGACGGAGGCTGGAGAGGCCCGCAGGAGCCAGATCATGCGAGATCTTGTAGACTGTGTTAGAGTTTGATCCTTATTCAAAGATCCACAAAAACCAATGGAAAGATTGTAATCATGGGAGGGAGGGAGGGAAAAAGAAGATCAGATTTGCATTTTGAATGTGTCATTCTGAACTGAGGAGAAAGAATCAGTGGATCAAGAGTGAATGGGGGAGGCCAACTAGGAAGCTATTGAAAAAGTGCTAAGTGGGCAAAATTGTTGCTCAGAATGAGGGTGGTGGCATGTGAGATGTAGAAATGCAAATGGGTATAGAAAAGGTATACAGTGGCACGATCTGGCCAAAGGATTGGGAACAGAGGGTAAAGGGGGTGTGTAGGTGGCAATGCCCCGTACATACATGCCTGGATTATACAGTGGGTGAATGGTGGGGCCAGACACCAATAAGGGAGCACAGAAGAAAAGACCCGGTGGTTTTGCTTTCAATTTTGTTTTGTTTTGTTTGGGGGCAGGGTAGGGTGGGTAGAGATCATGTGTTCTGTTAGGGCATAAATTGAAGGCGCCTGGAGATAACCTGGGTGGAGATGTTTGGGAAGGCAGGAGGCAGTTAGATATACATACGAAGCCAGGAGGAGAGGTGTGGGCTGAAGGAAAGCAGCTAGGAGACATCAGGCTATTTACAGACAGTTACTGAGGCGACGAGAATCTATGTGAGGACTGAAAAGTGCTGATGGAGGGGTGCAGAGCGCCTGCAACTAAGCCTTGGGGGCACCGGCTGATGAGGAGGCTCAGCGGGAGCTCGTTGGCAGGGATGGGCTCTCCTCGTTTCGGTCTGGGTTTAACTGCACCTCCTTCAAAAGCATCTCATGAGCAAGTCCCTGTGCTGACTGTCGCTGCCCCATCTGATTCCTGTATCACATTGCAATGTTAAATAATGTATTTGTATTTCTTTGCTTGACTGACTCTCCCACTAACCTCCCCTGGGCAGAAGCGTGTTTGTTTTATCTACTAGTGTATCTCCAGAACCCCACCACAGGGCCTGGCACCTGGTATGTGTAGAGATACTTCTTTAAGTGAACAACTGAAGCAGTCAACCAAGTATCAAGCCGTCAGTCAGGCAAAGCTATACAGAGGAAATGAGGAGAGTGGTGTCCGGAAGCCGGTGGGACAGAAACGGCTCCAATAAGGAAGAAGGGGTTAGCAGGCTGGGTTGCTGCTAAAGCCAAATGAGACCGATTGAGCTACATCAGAGCCATTGAGAGCTGATACCAATTGAGCCAGACAGAAATGGGTTGAGGAGCGGGGATACCTCTCCAGACCTGAGGTCTTGGCTTCAGGCTTAAACTGTCTCCCTCAAACCTAAACCCAGACCCTGGCCCCACCCATGGGCCCAAGTCCTCCATGCTAAGTTATACCAGCTCATAATCTCTAACCCTAGTGGCCCCCCCACTCTGGACTCTGTCTTCCAGCCTTAGGCAGACAGACAAGTGCAAGCAGCCAAAAAGTTCCCAATTATTAGGGAAGTTCCTACATTCCATAATTTTATTCTATGAAATTAAATAAATGGCCCATTCCAACAAAGTTTCTTAATCAAATAAGGTTGGGAAATGGAAGAATGAAGCCACTTACATGGGCTGGGCATCTGTACGATGGGACTTCTCGAGGTCCTGACATGAGAGAGCATCTGTCCCTCCTTCCCCTCATTAAAAAAATATATGTTCATTACGGCTGGTTCCTTCCTGGGAGAAGGAACCCTGTCTACCCAGTGCCTGTATATGTTCTCTGTCCACAACAGGGGGCATTTATTCATTCAGGAAATCATGGGGAACTGTGCTAGGGGCTGGGGATATAAGACAGACTCTGCCATCAGGTGGCTGTACTCCCATGCTCCAATTCCTCACACCCAGAGTGACATCCCGACTTCTTACCATGACCTACAGGGCCCCCAGAACCTGGGCATCCCCAGGTTCTTTAATGAGGGGAAGGAGAGACAGATGCTCTCTCATGTCAGGACCCTGAGAAGCCCCATCGTAACGACGCCCAGCCCATGTAAATGGCTTTATTCTCCATTTCCCAACCTTATTTGATTAAGAAACTTTGTTGGAATGGGCCATTTATTCAATTTCAAACCTCATCCTCCCCAGTATCCCTGTTTTTCTTTTAGCCTCTGACCTCACTGACTCTCAAACCTGACCAGCCTCCCTCACTTGGTGCTGCCTGATGTCACGTGTCTGCATTGACTTCGTTCCGTATCACCGGCCTTTATCAGCCTCTCCTGCTAGACTGCAGGCTCCCTGTGGGCAGCTGTCCTGTTTACCAATGAAACAGTGCCGGCACATAGTAGGCAATCACAGATTTGAGTAACAGTGAATGCCATCTTGGAGCTCATGATTCTTTGGGGGATGTAGACAGGGAAACAGAGAATGAACAGCAGTGGGGTAAGAACCACAACAGAAGGTGAACAGGGCCCCTAGTGACTCCCTGGGATGGGAGCACTGGAGGACGAGTAGCACTTAATGTACATTCAAACTGAGGGTGAAGTGGGGGCAGTGCAAGCAAAGAGCAGGAGGCAGAGGAGAGGGCTGTGGGCACAGGGCCCACCCCTGCCAGGTCCCCAAGGAGGGAAGGCCCTGGGGACAGCAAGGAGGCCCATTAAGGCTGCAGCAGAGCGCAATGCCTGCGTGTTCATCGGGGCTGGACGTTTGCCTCCTCTTACTCCTCTGCCATTTTCCACTTAAATTGCTTCAATCGGGAAAAAAGCTTCCATATATAAACACCATTATAGGAAATCATTAAAAAGCAGCCATTTCATTATGGTTGCTGTATCTGCAAACATGCATTAGCAGCCCAGAGGTTTCCTTGAGCTGGATTTTATATGCAGTTTGCTTTGGTATCTGTGCTGGTCTCCATTGAAGACTAAGTCAAACCTATTCCCTTCACTGAAAAAGCACTTTTCTTTTGTTTTTAAACCACACCCATCAGAGCTAAGGCTGCCCCTTCAGTAAACTGGCTCCTAGGCACTGCCCCCAGGGCCTGGGGGGCAGAGCAGGGGGTGGGGGGTGGGGGGGTAAGCCAGCAATTTAGAAAGTGTTTTGACTTCCCTGAGCAGTCATGTAAAGGACAAAGGTCCCAGTAAGGCCACAGTGCATCTTAGAATACATTGCATTACCTCTATTCAAACCTGGTGGCACAATTATTTGGAAAATAAAGGTAATTAAATGCACAAAAACAGCGGTAGGAATTGCCGGGGGATTTTTATTTTCTTAATTTGACCAGGAGTTCTCATTAAGAGAGAAGTTGGCTATAACAGCCAGCATGCTTTGCTCACTCGTGTTGTGCCAAGTATTTGCATGCATCCTCAAAGTTGGAGGACGGGAGGCCTTGTAACGCTCCTGATTTATAAAGTTGGGATAACAGAGTGCAGAGGGGTAAGCCACTTACCCAAGGCCGTACAGCTAAGCAGTTGTTTCTGCTGTGTTTTTGCAGATGGCTTTGCTTTGACACGCCTCTGCTTAAACAGCGAGCCGTGCCCATGGCTGGTGTACTGCGCTGGCTGCAGCCCTTTGAGGTCTAGCGCTGAGGGGGAATTTAGGGAGCAGCTGTGTGATCACAGCACCTGGCTAATAGCAGGCTGTTTGTTGTTAATCGAGGTTTTGCGGATCTCCATCCTAGAAACAACACTCTTACACCAAATGATTCTGGGCAGATGTGGGCATATGGCTCATTGCATCATGGGTGTTAGCACGTGTGCGGTGTC